CCTATTTAGGCCTTCGGTTGCAAGGATTCTTGTTGAAAGGGATATCACTCTCCTTGATGTGAAAGAAATATGACTTGGTACTACCCGCAATGGGTATCGACAACCAATTGCCGCAGAACAAAAACCTTATTACTGTAATCACTGTAAATTTGATTGGTTACACACCTGCCAAATGTTTCAGGCTTCATCTACATTTGAGATTCAACATTCCTGTGCATTTGGATTCTCCAGTTCCTAATAACATCATCTAAGTGGAGAAAAATATAGCAGAAATTGAAGATCTTCTAGAAATGTTGAATAAAAATTTGTCTCATCAGGTTATTCCTCACCAACCAATTCCGCAGCTACTTCCCACCGCTATTGAGACAGTTCTTCCTCAGATCATAAATACTACGAATTTGGTTGTAGCAGATGCTAGCCGATGTGTTTTGGAACCATCTATCACGAGAGAAGAGGGTAATCAAGCCCTGGAGGAGCTCCATGATAAAGGTGTGCTGCAGGCTGAAAATGCTCAGCAGTTTACGGATCAACATAAGCCCCAGGGTGAGCTCTCCATCGAAGATTCACAAATAGATCAGATGGGACAAACACCGACAGATGAATGACAAGTTTATAAATCTAGGAAGAAGAAAAAAAAATTTTAGAACTCAGGAATTTTCAAAATGACTATTTGATAGTTTCGCGGAAGTCCTCATCTCAGTTTTGTGTTGGAAGCTCTCCCTAGAACCAGGAGAAGGGGAAGTGGTAAATCTACTCACCATAAATAAGAGTATTTCTGTTTTTTTGAGGTATAAGAGTATTTTAAAGTATCTTTTTGAGTGAGTTGTATTCCTTGTGAGTGGGTTCTTTGTACCCACTCACTAAAACCTTTGTATCTTCCCTTTTACATCAATGAATTTGCCTTTTTATAAAAATATACATATATAAGCTTTCGGGTTGTACCCTGAGAGGGTTGGGGGATTGGAATGGAAGAAATGTGGGAGGTAGAAGAGAAGTAAAGGAGGAGAAAAGGAGTTGGAAAGAAAGAGGAAGAGAAGGAGAGGAAAGGAAGGAAGAAAAGCTAGGTTCTCAAGGTATGGATATAATTTTTTTTTAAATTTTTTTAACGATTTGACTAGTTTGAAAAAATCGTAGTTGCTAAAGATTTTATTATGAGAGAAAGTTTTGAGATAAAAATATTATTTTGTGAATTTTTTGAGATAGAATTAAACTAGTAAATAAGAGTTTGTTATAAATTGATGTATTTGTTGATTTAAGGAGGTTGTGTTAAAAGATCTATGTTTCAAGGTGTGAGAAATAAAAAAATATTTCAAAAAAGAATTTAGAAATTTTGATGACATACTTGGTTTCTAAAATAAAAAATAAATGCTTTTTGGAATTATTGTTTTTTACTGGATATTAGTAAATTTCTTGTTTAAGTTTTCATTGAGAAATCCTCTCATGTTGAGAATATTTGGTTATATTAGCATAATTTAATTCATATAAATGATTTTTTTCTCCAGTTTCACAACATTTTATAGAAATGCAAAATTTAGGTATAAATGTTGATTTTTCTCTTATTTCATTGTATTCCTGCGCATGCTAATAAAATTGATTATCTACAAATACATTCTTTTTAAGCAAGAATTGCTTAGAAAAATGATTATAACTGATAATGATGAAAAAAAAATTGTCATTTAATTTGTGATATGTATGCATCCATAATAATGACATATGTTGGGTAAGACAAAAATTCAAATAAGAAGAGTTTTAATATGAAAATAATTGAATTCTCAACTCTTGATATTAAGGTTGGGACAGCCCAGTTGATATTACGAGATCATTGATAAATGTGATATTAGAATGGCCACTTCTTTATCGGTAGTTATTTTAACCAACTAATGGTATGATGACCTAATGAAATGAAATACATTAAAGCTAATACAAAAAAGATAACAATATTTCTAACATAGGGAATGCTGAGAAAAAATGAAAATAAAATTAAATTAAATACTTATAGCACATTAGTTAATATAGTGATTTAAAATCTTTGTTAACATTAGACTTATTTATTTCTAACTATTTTGTGTGACGACTTTTAATCATTTTTTCTATACCATTCAAGTATTATAGCATATTTCTTTATTATTACTGTTGTTACTCATGTTATTTACTGACCAATTTGCATGGTACTTTTTTGTATATTTGAATCTTATTTTAGTAATGTTTATTTTACTGAGGAGCACCCTAGAGATCACTAGTTCAGTGACCTATTAATTTGTATGGCTTTTAATTGTGCAGTTTTATGTATTTATAGAAGGTGGCAATAACTGACATAGATAAAGTCCTTTTAGTATGTATGATTTCATATTTGAGGTTGCTTAAAAGCTCTATATTTTATGGAGAATTGTTTTTATATCTGTTATTGTATTATTTATGATTCATGAATTTTAGAATTGTTGAAATATAAGAGTTTGCTTAGTGATGATTTAATAAAGACTAATTCTCCAATCAGTGGGTCTCAATGAGTACAAGTCATGATAAATGTGGGTGAATGTTGTGTCTGCCTGAGACATCATCTACTAGCACATCTCTGTTTGACTTGAGGGGGTTAATTAGGGTGTGACGGTAGGAATTTTCGGTAAACAACTTTTAATGCTATAAAACTAATTTAATGAGTACCATCAAATTCCTTTATTAATTTTTAAAATATTTGTATAGATGTAAGTTTTACGCATAATGTTATAGAATCATTATTCGACCAGTTAAACAATGAATATAACACTTCCACCTTACTGTTGTGTTTGGCATTGAATTCTTGAAGAAAACTTTTGGCCTTTGATAACACTGAGAAGTGCCAATTGAGTCATTTTTATGATATCTTCTAGCTTATCAATGTCAAGGAATTGGATCTGCCTTAGGATTTATTGTGTTTTGATGGGGAGCATGACCTGGATGTGGAAAGCGTAGATCTTATCAAGGATAAATTGAGAGGAGAGGAAAATAGATATGCCAATCCAAGATAAAGGGGAAAGGACGAATAAGTTTCCACCCTTTTTTTCTGTCTTTCTTTGGTCATTACCTCACACATATTAGGGTAGTTTCAGATGTAGGTCACAGTGGGGTGTTGTTGTGTTGGTTCTTGAGTCGATGACAGGCACTGGTGAAGAAAGAAGTATAGGCGGGGATTTGAGAAGGGAACATGAGGGGTTCATGTTATTTGAGGAGAGAACAGGCACAAGCTTTGGGAGAGGAGGTGCTTGGCAATTTGGAGGGCTTAGGTAGTTTAATTCCAAAAGGGCTAATGTGTTGGGCGAATTTGGGAGATTTGGCAAGGGAGAGCAGTGAGATTAGTGTGTGAGATTGTGAAATAAGAGAATAGGCATGATTTTTTTTTTCATTTTAAGATTAAAATTTCCATAAACAACCGAATGGGATGGGACATTTGCAATGGGATTTTGGGGATACGTAGATTTATTGACCTTGGGATTGATGAATTTTGTCAGATTGATTTATAATTATAATAATTGTTTGTTGACTTTTTTTGTAGGTCTTCATAGTAAAAAATGTTGATTTCAAATTTCCACATTGTTCTTGTTGGTGAATCTCTTGATTTTCTCTCATACAATGACTCAAGCAAAAATTACTATTTTTTGTGGGGAATTTTCTCATTTTTGATGTGTTACCATCATCCATTTTACAAAACGAGCAATGAATAGATTTTTTTTATCATTGTGGAGGTGTTTTGAATTTGATTTTTGTGACATCAATTTTGTTGTCAATCGTTTTTATTGTGCTTGTGATTGCAAGGTTACTTCTGTGATTATTTTGACACTCTAGATCCATCGGTATAATTCGTTCCATGAAATAGGTGAACTCTGGATATTTTTTAGTATGGTCATTATGTTTTAAGCCAGACTATTGCAACGTCACATCCCTTGTATACTATTTTCATTGTGCTCAATTTGGTTGATTGTGGGGTACCTTTTTGGTAAGTTCTTTGCTTTCAATGCATCTGCATGGCCTGTTTCACCAAAAGAGCAATATCTGAACACTTCATTGTGGTTGAGGCATCTGGAACTTGATTCCCATAGTATGACCCCCATTTTCTACTATTTTCTTTGCATTTAAACATTTTTTTTGTGAGATTAGTATGGATATCATCACTTAAGTGCATTGTATTCCTATAGTATATTTTGAAATTATGTTGAAACTATGAGATTACATCCTTAAATCGATAAGGAAAATTTGTTAGCCGCTAGAAATTGAATAAGGCAGCAAGCCAATGATATTGCTGTATGGTTTATTGTTGGTCACAACTTTATTATGACACAGGATGAATTTCGATCTCCATTTTCTATTCACACTAGTTCATGTGCTTCTTTTTGGTCCTTTCAAAGCTATCTAAAAATAGATATTGTGACTTGTAAATTGTAGGTTTTTAAATTCTTCTTATTATTTTTCTATATATATCTTGTTTAAAGGTTGCCACTATTGATATGAAACTCACTCATTGGCCCAAATGAAGGAATATTCAAGGTTAGTGATTCTGAACATCTAATGGAGTAGCATGAGATCTGAGCCATTGTTAAGTTCTTGTTTTGGTGGGCCGGCTTGCCACCTGAAGGTTCAACTTTTGAACCCTTGCACAAATTGGAAGTGAAATTTCTTAAATTCCAATATTGAGAACAGGGTTTATTGGAAGAATGGTGGAATGCCTGCAAACATTCATGTTCTTATTTTCTTAATTGTTGCATCTCTCTAATTTGAGTAGGATTGACGGTTGTCCCTAATTACTCTACCTCAAAAGTATCATGTGGAGTTGCCATCCTACTTTATTAGGGCAACTTTCCATCATAAATGTAGTTCATGACATTTGAAATCAATGAAAATTTAATCTTATTTTTTATGTCAGACTGCAATTTTTTGTTTTTTTATTTTTTTATAATTTAATGTTTTATTCATGCCCACTTTGGTATACCTTTTATTGCAACTGCTATACTATTCTTCTATGTTTCCAGCTTCAAACCATGAACCAGATGGGCGGTTGATTTTAGCTGAATTTGAATCATTTTACCTGTTGAATACATATGTGCCGAATAATGGTTGGAAAGAGGAAGAAAATTCTTTTCAACGAAGAAGAAAGTGGGACAAAAGGATTCTTGAGTTTGTTGTTCAGCTTGACAAACCCTTAATTTGGTGTGGAGATCTTAATGTAAGGTAATTCTCTATAGTGATAGGATTAAGAATGAACTACTTTCTACGTTTCTTTTTTTTTTAAAGTTCAACTTATGCAATGGGCCACATTCCTGTTCCCTCTCTTTCTTTATTCAACGCATTACTCTGTTTTTTTAATATAATTTATGTCATCGTTTCTTTCATAGAATATGGCATATTGTTTTTTTTATTGTGTTCTTCTTATCTGTTGGTTATTTGCCTTGTTCTACCTGCTCAGCCTTCGTTGTTGAATCCTCTTTGCCTTTCGAAGTCTATTGAAATAACATTTTTGAACTTATTGCTGATAGTACGTTGAATTGTACGTGAGAACTTCAGCTTGGAAATAGAGATTATTACGTAGAATTTACTGAAGGTGTCAAGTGCTGCGGCTCGTTTATCTTTGTTCATGCCTTGTTTTGACATATTATATCTCACCTTCTGCAGCCACCAAGACATTGATGTGAGCCATCCTGATTTTTTCAGCAGTGCAAAGCTTAATGGATATGTTCCTCCCATCAATGAGGTGAGTTTTGACTTTGAATGACACAGGTAATTTACATGTTTTTTTATTACCCCTTTTCCTTCTGCATTATCAAAAGACATTCCTTTTTAGGATGATCTTAACTATCTTAAAAATTGATACCGGAGTTAACCCTAATAATAATAAGAAAATAAATATTATTACTTGAAGCAACTAAGCATTTACAATCAACACACTTGAAAGGAAAAATATAACAACACGACACTCAAAAATCAGAAGTAGCAATAGACACGACACAAATAACTAAACTTGGATTGGATCTCAGGGTGGTGGTGGTGATCGGCGAGGGTTTGGCCCTCCGACGAGATAGTTAGGAGTAGGTGAAGGCTGGGAGGTGCGGCGATAGCAAAGGGAGTTGACGACGGCAACAAATGGTCAGAGTTGCGACAAGAACAACATGCTGTAAGGAGAGGAATGGATGGGTGGGTGGCTGAAAAATTCAGGAAAAGGTTGCTACCGGGTGACTGTAGCGTAGGGAAATGCTGTCGGAATCGACAGGGGATGCAAGAAACTGCAAGCAGCTTGATGAAGGCTGTCTGGGATAGCGGTAGCGAGGATAGGTGGCTGGATTGGGGAAACTGCAGGGAAAACAACAAGGTGCGACTATTTGGGGGTGGCTGCAGCAATGGAAGCTGCCGAGAGCGATGTGGAAAGAGATAGGGAAGAAAACTTCATATCGGGAGAGAGATACAGCCAAAGTACCACCCAAACCCTTAGATACGACCCTCTAAGGGAAAAACGGATGTCAGTGGCTGTCCTGACAGAAATTTGAGCCAAAATTGAATTTCAAACACTAATACAATACATAGGTAGGAAATGACTAAAAATGAATAAAAGATAATAAGAAAGGAAAACAAAATAATTTCGGACCGTTTCTTGCGATTACAAAATCTTGCGGTACTGCAACAGCTACAACACCGCGTCCACTGTAAGCTCTTGCATCAATCTCCCGGGTTTGGGTGAGCTTCAACCTCATCCTTCAAAGCTTCAACCTCATCCTTCAAAGTATTGACCAAGTAGTTATCTTATCTTTTCCCCCATGCTGACGTATGAACTTCAGATTCTCCCTATGAAAACAACGTTGCCTGTCTTCTTCATTGCCGAAATTCTTTCTATGAAAGGAATGCAAATCCTTCTCTTTCTTCCCTTCAACGCTCCAGATTTTGGTCGAGGTAATGTGGTTCCCATTACCAATTTCTATAGGCTTCTACTGAAAATGATGAATCTCTCGCTATATCTCATCTCGGATAGTATTCGTCATGTATCTCATTGGTGGAATGGTTAGGGTTTGAGATATTTGGAAGTGAAAAGGGTATTTGGTAGTAGGAAAGAAAATTTGTGGTTTATGGCAGATGTTAGGAAACCCTAGAATAGGACTATGGTTAGGCTAGCTCTTATACCAAATAATACTGATGTTAACCCAAACCATAATAGAAAAACAAATATTATTACTTGATAAAACTAAGCGGTTAGAATCAACACACTTGAAAGCAAAAATATAACAATACGAGATACCTAACCATATAGTCAAACTAGGGTGGGATCTCAAAATTGGAAATAATAACAGAGGCGGCACAAATAGTCAAACTAGGGTGGGATCTCAAGGTGGTTGTGATCGAGAAGGGTTTAGCCCTCCGACGAGTAGCAAGGAGTCGGTGAAGACTGGAGAGTGCAGTGACTAGTGTGGATGAAGGCAGTGAAGGGGAGGAGTTGCAGTAAGGACAATAAGTTGGAAGGAGAGAAATAGATGGTTGGATGGCTGTGTCGGCGCTTAAAAGGGGAAAGGTTAATGTTTGGGGGTCGCCCGTAAGAAGCTGTCGGTCGCCGGAATCGAAATCCCGTCGCCCGCTTCGGAAGGACTTTTTAATTTACGTATATATATATAATTTTAGAAAAATATGAAATCAAACTGACCTCATATTTTCCATAGTTTAAATGAAAGAGCACTCAACCTCAAATCCTGTATCTACCCCAAGGGATAAACACAAGACTTGAGGGTGAGACTCGATCAAATAAACTAAGAAAGATATGACATCCGTTTGGGTCTGCGAAACCGTTTTATTTGCCGACAAGTTCCCCTATTTAATACAAAAAATTAAATAGGGTTTATTTTAAGCTGGGTTCG